AAGGCTGGGGAGAAACTTTTCATCTACCTTGCTGTTTCAGAAGTTGCAGTAAGTGCAGTTTTGGTTCGAGAAGAGGAGGGTAAACAATCTCCTATCTATTATGTTAGTAAATCTTTGTTAGATGCAGAGACACGGTATCCACAATTGGAAAAACTAGCGCTTGCTCTAATCATGGCATCTAGGAAGTTAAGACCATATTTTCAATGCCATCCCATTGTTGTAGTGACTGCATACCCCCTACGTAATATATTGCATAAACATGAATTGTCAGGGAGGTTAGCTAAATGGGTCATAGAGCTAAGTGAATATGAAATCACATACCTACCTAGAACAACAATAAAATCCCAGATATTAGCTGATTTCGTGGCTGATTTTAGCCAAGGATGCAGCTAGAAGCAGAAAAAGAAGTGCAAATACTTAATGGGGCTAATCCAGGAACATGGACCTTATTTACTGATGGCTCATCTAACGTAAAAGGCGCAGGATTAGGAATTGTTTTAGTACCACCTACGGGTGAAACTATTAGGCAAGCTATTAAATGTCATTCCATAACTAACAATGAAGCGGAGTATGAAGCTGTGATTGCAGGTCTAGAATTGGCACGAGAACTTGGCATAAATCAAGTGGTGATCAAAAGTGATTCGCAACTCGTGGTTAATCAAATGCTGGGGACTTATACATCTAGGGAAGCAAGGATGCAACAGTACTTGGAAAAGGTACGGGAACTGATAATGCAATTCCAAACTTGGAACGTCACACAAATATCAAAGGATGAAAATGCTGAAGCAGATGCCTTAGCTAATCTCGCATCCGCAGCTGATGTGGCAAATGATGCAAACGCTTCAGTTATACATTTATTTCATTCAATTCTCGAACCTGATAAGAATGAGGTAAATTTTAATAATTTACCTTGGGATTGGAGAAACGAAATTGTTGCTTTTTTACAGTATGGTACCGTCCCTAATGACAAGAAACAAGCGCATGCACTTCGAAAAGGCTGCTCGTTACTATTTAAAATAGGGGAACCTTTATCATAAAATGTTCGGTGGTCCCTTAGCAAGATGCCTCGGACCTTCTCAAACGGAGTATGTAATGAGGGAAATACATGAGGGGCATTGCGAGAATCATGCAGGAGGAAGATCACTAGTGAGAACCTTGATTAGAGCAGGGTACTACTGGCCTAAAATGGAAGCAGAAGCGGAAAGTTTCGTGGCTAAATGTGATAAATGCCAGAGGTATGGTAACAATATGCACAGGCCAGCAGAATTATTACATCCAGTCATTGCGCCGTGGCCATTTATGAAATGGGGAATGGATATAGTAGGACCATTACCTCAAGCAAAAGGACAGGTAAAGTCACAGAGTTTTTTGAGAGTTGGCAAATTAAAAGTATCACATCTACACCTTATCACCCAGTGGGCAACGGGCAAGCAGAATCAACGAACAAAGTCATAATCAACAATTTGAAGAAACGTTTAGAGGAATCAAAGGGTAATTGGCCTGAAGTGTTACCCGGAGTGTTATGGGCATATCGCACGACAACAAAGACGAGCACAGGTGAAACTCCTTTCTCTTTAGTTTATGGAGCTGAAGCATTAATCCCAGTTGAAATAGGAGAACCAAGTACAAGATTCTCACAAGCAACACAAGAGGCTAATGATGAAGAGATGCGGGTCAATTTGGATTTACTGGAAGGCAAGAGAGAAGCTGCATTAATAAGAATGGCGGCACAAAAATAAGTGATCGAACGATATTACAACAGGAAAGCACGACTGAGGTACTTCAAAATTGGGGACTTCGTGCTTAAAAAGGTTTTTCAATCTACAAAGGCAGCCAACGTGGGTAAACTAAGTCCAACCTGGGAAGGACCCTGCAGAGTTCGAAATATTGCAGGAAAAGGAGCTTACGAGTTGGAATTAATGAACGGGAAGGTGCTTCCTTCACATTGGAATGCAGTTCATTTGAAGAGATACTACTCCTAAGGAAAAACCCACGGTCAGGTATCACCATGTTAAATTATATTTTTTGAATTGTTAAAATTTTACTAACGATTTTAGATGATCGGCAAAATGCTAACCCGTACTAAATGATGAGTCACGACCTGTAAGGCAAAATGGAATAAACTAAAATTCCTAGCCCAGGGTTACAATTATTCTGATAGAAGTATACACGGGTTAAGCAGTCTTCATCTATAATCGCACCCCCGAGTCCCGTATGTATTTCCTTTTCAGGAAAAGGACCAGGTGAAGGAAACTACTAAGTGCTCGAGGCTTCATACTTCAACACTCAAACACTTGGGAGACTACATAGTATATACAGTCACGTGTATCAAAAAGGCAAAGAAGATTTAGAAAATCAAGCCTAGAAGAATCAAGTACGGAGTGAAAGTTACGAAGTCATGGCATTCATCATACTATGCTTTCCCATGAGAACAATGGCATTCATCATAGTATTCTTTCCCATAAGAACAATGGAGTCATCTCTCAAACTCTTCCTAATGTTCTGGAGCTAAAAGGACTATGTACTAAAACGGGTTATAAGGAAAAACCCCGTATCTATTGTTCTTCTTTTGTATAAATCTGTTACAAGGAAAACAGTTGCGAGAAAGTTATAGATGTAATTCAAATACATGTAAAGTATNCGAATCAGCCTTCGGCCTCGTCCGAAACAACATTCGGCCTCGTCCGAATCAACCTTCGGCCTCGTCCGAATCGACCTTCGGCCTCGTCCGAATCAACTTTCGGCCTCGTCCGAATCAACATTCGGTCGTCCGAAACAATATTCGGCCTCATCCGAATCGACTTTATGGCCAAGGGCCTTCGCCAAAGAAGAAGAGTTCGACCTCAATCGAACAACGACGGGTCAATATTCCGACAAAATCGAAATAATACCCTCTAAGGCTATGGGCCTTCGCCGAAGAGAATTACGAAATCGTACCCTAAGGCCAAGTGCCGTACAAGAAAATATAAAGAAGGAAAGACCGGGACTCGCCATGCGGGAATCTACCTCGCACCAAAGTCGCAAAAAGCGAAAACATGGAAAAGTACAAGGCAAATAACAACGAAAAGTTCTTGTTTATACAAAGTCACTGCGCAAATAGTCGTAGATTACATACGACCCGGATCAATGGTCAAAAAAAAAGACAGCTATCTTTTCACTCGGCGTCACCATCGCCACTCTCTTCACCACCATCTTCAAGATATTCTCCCTCGGCATCGGCATCCTCAGCTGCAACCCATACTAGTCGACCTCCCCATCGGAATTTCTCGAACTACGATTAATGAGGTCCGCTCACCGAGCTCGACCAAGAGACGACCTCGATAAGCGGAGGGACTAACTGTATGGGTCAAAATTAGACCAGAGAAATTCGGCACGCGAAGACAAAAAGCCAAGGTCGGACAGGCCAAGGTCGGACCGTCATCAATAAAGCCAAGGTCGGACAGACCAAGGTCGGGCCGTCATCAATAAAGCCAAGGCCGGACCGTCATCAAGAAGGTCGTGGTCGGATAGGCCTAGGTCGGACAGGCCGAGGACGGACAGTCATGAAACTGCTAGTTTGCTTTAGAATACTCAAAAGGAATATTCTACCGAATATTCTCTCTAAATTGTACCTTTTGTAAGGATTTTCTATGGATACCCCCCTTATAAATAGGAGGGGAGGACTTCCCATTGAGGGCTCTCTCTCTCGGTCTCCCTCTCCCTCTTTCTAGAAAATATGTAAACGCATCTCTCAAAAGAGAGAAGAGGATCTGTGATCCAAAACCTTCATTAGATCCAAAAAGGGTCCAATGGTTCTTGTATTTTGTCTATCATTCATCTTTATCAAATGAAAGAAGATCCGACTAACTCAAGATCGGGTGAATCTTTTCCTTTATCTACATTTTATTGCCATTTAATGTTATTCAATGCATCTTTCTTTATGTTATTAAATCTGGCTATAATCACGCCCAATATTTATACTCGGCTATGTTTTTCTACTTATATTATTCGTCTTGGATCTAGAGTTAATTATCTTTAACTAGGATTTACCCCTTCATCTATTTGATTGATTTGCTTAAAAAGTGTTAAACAACTTTTGAGTCAAACAAAGATAAGGCCATATAAGAGATAAAAATAATAATTAAATAACTGATGAAACAGTTCTACTTATTTGATCAACTTTTTTCTTTTGAAGATCCAACAGATATATGAATGATAAAATCTCAAATACTGCTATCTGATTGGTTGAACGATGGGTCATATAGTATTAAAGTCTTTGGTTAGTTCTCAATACTTCTCATTAATCTCTAAAATATATAATAATGTCTCTTTCATGAATTAGACCCAGGATTGCTATTTATAACAGCAAGTAAAACTAAAAGAAAGCTATATAACTTCTCTAACAAATACCAAATATTTTATGATTAAACAACATGACCCCAACAAAATAAACATAATGAAGTTTGAGCAAGCTTAAGTAATGCATCCAATTCGTGTTTCTCATTTGATTTTGACGTGACTTTTATAAATGAGTTGAAAGTACATTTTCCATAAAATATATGCTAATCTAATTTATTTTTGGAAACAAATTAAAGAAACATTTATTATTTTAGGAAAGTAAGCAGAAATTTAGGAAAATTCACAATAAAGGGTAGGATGAATAATTTGTGAAATGATTAATTATATACAATTTAAAATTGGAACAAAGAACAAAATGAAATTCATTAAGAGGAGGAACATTGAGAAATTGAGCAAGAGAGCATTTGCAATATTTGTTCCCTAATTAATAAATACAAAAAATATTATCTCCAATTACTCATTCTAAAAATCTTCAAGTCCTCTTTTTGTAAAATATTGTCCCTGAGTTCGGACCGGGGAGAATTCGACTCACTCAGAAGAAGTGGTTACCAAACGGCTCGGACCATTGCACGCATTTCTCTCTCAGACTCAGTTCCTCTTAACTGAAATCAATCAAATTTCGCTGCATCATTTCGCTAACAATGCTTCAATTTTGTACATAGACACTGTTCTGATCTACACCGACAAGATAATACACAAATCTAGGGCCATGGCTCACTGGATCTCTTCGAAGCTCAAAGTCGCCGAAAATCTACTTCAACAGGTTCCTTTTTGTTCCATCTTTTATTTCATGAAAATTAATTGTATTTTTGTTAGAATCTTAGTGGAATTACCTTTGATATTTTTGTTTAATTTTACGAGTATTATTCAGTAGTGTATCTAATTGTTTCCCCCTAATATTTCATTCGAGTGGTTCAGATAGATCAGCAAGCAGCTGATTCACTCCGTAAGAGTGAGAAGCAACGATCTGATGACCTAGATCGCGAAATTTTAGCTAAAACCAATGAAAATAAGCCACTGATTAAGGACCAGCTCATGAAGAAAAGCCGCGAAACTGATGATTTAATCGTGAAATCCAGGACTGATCGAAATTCAACTTCTATTAGCCTGGATAAGAATAATAGCTTTGGTAGCAATAGTAATTATAAGCCTCAAAAGGAGGCAGTCTTGCCAATAGATTCGAGCCCTAAGTGGAGTACCAATGCTCTTACTGATACTGATTGGACTGAATTGCTAAGTGCACCTAGTTCAAATGCCACTGCTGGGGCGAGTAATGGTAGTAATGGAGTGGCTGGTATCCGTAGTGGTAAGAGTGATGGTAGAAAACAAAGGAGTTTGGGATCCGGGTCGAATTTGCTGGCTGTGGAAGGGAAAAGGAGCCAGAAACCTCAAAAGGTTGTTAAGAGTGTTAAAGGATCAAATAGTCAATCAGAGAATGAGGTAGACGGTAGCAGGTTAGAGAGAAGAGCTACCAATGCAGGCTATAGAATGCCGGTAACTTCAAGTGTTGATCTCAAAATTGATGGGGGGGAAGGTTTGGACAGAAGGGACCTTCATCGAAAAGGTGAGAATGTGGAGTCATTGCGTGGAAATAACGATGAACAAAATGAAGTGAAGAATGAGTATTCGGAGGATTTTAAGGGTGTAAAGAAGTCTCCGGTGAATAGTCGTTCGGGAGATAAGAGCCTTGGCATTGTGACGGGGTCTTCCACTCTTGATAAGGAGTTGGACATAAAGAATCAGCTGGATGACAATAAGAGGATTAGGCCAGCGAAGGCTATGGTTGACAGACCAAAAATGGACTCTCAGATTTCAACTTCTGTAAAGATGGGTTCTTCTTCACCTAGCAATGGAGAATCAGATTCTGAGACGGATTCAACATCTTCATCAGACTCGGAAACTGAACGTGAAAGAGAAGAAAGGAGAAGAAGAAGGCAGCAGATCCTGGCGGAGAAAGCAGCTGCGAAAGCAATGGAAGCTATAAAAGAACGTGAGAACATGGTTGCTAAATTGGAAGGGGAGAAACAGAGCTTAGAAAAAATACTTGAAGAGCGGGCCAAACAACAAGTTGAAGAGGTAAATACTTGATCTTTCTGTTTCCTGTTGTTATGTAGTTTACTTTCCTGGTATCTTGTGAAATCATTGTTTTATATCATAAAAGTCAGTTTGTTATCTCAGAGGAGAGCTTTTACCTCCACCAACCACATGACTGAGCAGTCCTAACTCAAGATGTAAAGACTTGGTGGCAGCAATCAGTTTTTTTTTTTTGGGGGGGGGGGGGGGGGTAAGTAATGGAAATAATCAAATTGTTGTTCTGGAGTTTAAGATAAAACGTGCATTTGGCACAGGAAACTCTTTCAGAAGAAGCATCAACCTCTATGATGTAGTTACATAATTTTGACTGGAAATTTGTCCATCTTTTATAGGCTTCTTTTTACTTGCTTCCGGAAGGATATAAAGGTCTCTGATGTTGAAGTAAGATTTGGACAATTTCATTCAAACTCCATAGGGATGTTACCTTGATAAGCTTAGACGCTTAGTTGCATTCTTGACTACTTCTACCTTCTGATTACGTTTACATTTTATATCAGATTAAAGTTCTGATCACTTCATTTTATATTGTGCATAGGTCTGATCATACCTTTTCCGTGGTCTCCTTAGAACTTGTTTGATAAACTTTTTGGTTATTCTTGTTCTTGTTAAAATAGAAGTTGGAAAAGTAGAACAATAAAGATATTATTTCCGTGCTGCTAATTCCCTTAATGGCTTAGCTTGTAAAGGTTTTCCAAAAGTTGCTCTTGTTTTTTTTCTTCTGGACTGGATTACATTTTGGTCCACCTGCGTTTTCAGTTTTCTCAGAGCACCCCGACTCTTAAAAAGGGAAAAAAAAAAGAGAGCTGGAGGAAAATTTCCTTCATTTTCTTGTAATGTGGCCTGCATGAACTAGAATCTGCAAACCAAAGGTATACATTGTTTCTCATTCGCCTTGCAATTGTAACAACTTGACAATGAAACTGTATCTGGTCTTTGATTAGTTAACGAACAGAGTCGTTTGGGGAAACGTCGGGAATGGGAGTACTGCCTCTTCTATACTAATCTTCTCTTTCCATGCATAAAATTGTACTTCTCCCTTGTCATTTCTACGTCCACCAACATTCTTCACTGTTAAAAAGTCAGAAATTCAGAGAGATTTATAGGGCATTTCAATGTTATGGCCAACTACCATGCTTATGACTACTTCTTTGTTATAGGCTTCTGAGTTACAGACGAAAATGATGGAAACAATGGAAGCTGTTGAGTTGGAGAAGCAGAAACATAATAGTACTAGAATGGAAACTCTTACACGATTAGCGAAGCTTGAGGTTTGCTTAATCATTCTGCTTTTACATATTTTATGTTCAATTGTTGGGAAAGCTGGCAAGGGATTTTGGATAGTTATTATGGTTAAAGTATTCCTCCATATAATCATAGCAGATTTTAATGCCTAGCTATTTGTTGCAGACTGTAAATGCTGAACTTGCAAGGTCTCTCGCCTCTGTTCAATGGAATCTTGAAGTAGAGGTATATGAAATATTGACCCTTGTTTCAGCAGAATTTGGAAATCCTATTGACTGTTGTACTTCACTTCCACGAGACGAAAACGTTACACACATTTTCTCTCGCACTTTTTGGGGGTTGATATCATTTGTGTGATGCGGTTTCATAAGTAAAGAATATTGATAACTCCTTATTAGCTGTTCCATTTTGCATCTCTCTACCTTGGTCCTGTGGAGTATCTATATTCTCTCTTTTATTTCTCTTTTTCCTTTTTTTTTGGGGGGGGG